AGAGTGATTATAATTTCTTAAAACTTTGATTGTTTTGTAAATGTTTGTTTCTTCAGTACAGCCAAAATATTCTAATGTAACTCACTGTGTGTTTAATTTAAAAAAAAGTTTCTGTGAATAATGGGCAGATTATGTAAGACCGAGGTGAGACAAAAAATGACTAAAATGTCACTTTAAAGACAACATGGACCAAAGTCTGGACTCATAAGAATTGTTGTGAGAACATTACACCGCAAAATATCGAATCCGAATATACTGCACAACATGAACACAAGACTGCAAAATATCCTGGGCCCTGCAAGAAACGTAATTCATCAGCGATACTGGAAGACCATATTGTTCATCAAAAACAAGATGACGGTTTACTTCAAAAAAATATGTTTAGTTCTTTTGTAAGTCATTGCGACCTGCCATTTGCGAGCCGCACCCAGCGTAGAAAACCTTTAAAGGACGCCATATTTGTGCATTCTGAAAAGTTCCAATGTCACAGCTACTCTGACACGAAAAGACGGATAAGATGAATCCGACACTGCGCTGAGACGCTCCATAAAGGCAGCGAAATGTCCATATTCATTAGGTTGTACGTGTGACATAAATACAATATGTCCCCCTATCTTAGCGCGGGGACGACGCGGCGCTTATGCGACAGACGGCGAGGCTGCAGTGCCCGGCCCCGGTATCACGGCCACAGCACTAATCCATCATCACCTCCACTGAATCACCGTGCTGTCAATAAAACAGGGCGGTAATACATTAGGAGGCGTGTGGCAGGCTTTTGCCATAGTGACATTGACAAGTCCCCTCGGGCTGCAGGAAAAGGCTGGCTGGGTGCTACACTTGCTTACACAGGCAATAATATATGGAAATGCAAGAGCAGCACAGTTTGATCTATTCATGGAGAGAGTTGACTTGGTGCCTTATCACAAAGGGGCCCAAAAGGGCAATGGTAGACACTTTTTTTTTTTAACCCTTTGAGGGACAGTGGTTACTCTAGTGGACAACTTATCATGTTCTCAGTTTACAGAGTGCATGAAAGGGTTAATATAGATTATCTTCAGTCAATATGACGCTGCTCAGGAAGTTTTTAAATCACAGATGCAAGTAAACTTTTTTGAAACGATTTTTTTGGGCTGATTCCAAACCTGTCTGTTTTTTTTTCCCTCAAGCAATCAGGTTTTCATAATAATAATAATAATAATATGGAATGAATATTTATGAATTAAGTTCAGCAACAGGTAGACTTTCTTCTGTAATGTCATAGCTATGAATTACAACACATGGTAAAATGTGTATTGTGCAAGCTTTTGTAAGTCTAACTTAAACCCCCAGCAAAAAAAAAAAAAAAAAAAAAAAAAAAAAACTATCTCCAAAACCTGATGTGCTAGAACAAAAGTAAAGATATTTTACAATCCACTTTAAAAAAAATATTTTTTGGTAAACATTAAGCCATCTCTGATTAAGATTTGGAAATCAGTCAAATGAACTTCTTCTTTCATGAATAGGGCAAAAAAATAAAGCAGCAGATCAAATTCCAACACAAATCAAGAAATACATCTTGAAGAAATGGATCAGACAAAAAAAATGCCAACACAAGATTAATGCTGATAGAATAAAAGTCTGGATTTATTTTGCTTTATTATCTCTACATTAAACACATGTTCCTGAATGCAGCAAGAGACACAAAAAGAAGATGCTAAGCATCTTGTCAGCGTAGCAGAGGTGTGGCCGGTTGAGCGAGGACATATACATACGCACTATTGCCTAGTATAGAGTGGTGGCCTCCAAAAGGCCAAAGCAGGCTGAGGGAATGTTGACTGAAATTATGAGTGTCTTTCACGTTATCGTACCAACAGACTGGAACACCGTCCATTAATTACCCTGTCTTCCCCTAATTGAGCATGGCAATGCATTTCAACTCAAAGAGGCGGGCACGGTTTCAATTCAACAACAACAGTGATTACGGGAACTTATAAAGTTTGAGTTGCCATGACAATAGGATCCCAATGTTGACCAAACAATCAAAAATACTGTACATTTGATTTTTACCAAACAGTCCCGTGGATGGCTTAAGTGCTGCAAATGGAAATGACTAAACACAGTGATGACATTGGAGAGATATTTTTCTCAAACTATGGATGGGCAGCATAATCAATGAACTGATTAAGAATTTTCTTTTATCGGAAATATTCCTCCACCACAGACAAAACAATAACCAGTCATTTCTGGTCAATTTTCCCCATGGTTGAACAAAGAAAGGTAGGCCAATGCCCATCCTAAGTGGAAACAAAAACAATCAGAACATAAATTTTGCACTAGATATTCTCCCAAAACATACATTGAATGCATATTTACGTATAGTGTGGATCACTGCTACACTTACACTGAAAAGAGTTGAATGAAGTTAGTGAATCAATCAAGACGGGAACACAAAACAGCCACAAACTGCCATTGTAAACGAATCCGTTTTCGGTGAACTAAGTTCTGCCATTATGATTAAAATAAGATGTCCGGAACTCTCCCTAAACGTTACACAAACACACGGAAAACATTGGCGTCAAACAGGTGTTGAAAGCAGACGCATCTTTTTTGTTTTTTTTTTTTAAATCAACAGGTTCTGAGGTACTCGTGAGATTCACAACTAAGTAGAGAACGGCATTTGGGCGGATAGCACGTAAGCGACACGGTAACAGCAAAAGCGTTTTGCAAAGCGTTTTGGCTTGAATTGCTTTCACCAAAGAGTTGAGGGACTAGCGGTGTGGTCGGCGCGCCTGAATAAAACGCGTCTCCCCGCCCCTCCTCCGTGAGGGCTAAAAACATAGAAAAAACAGCACCATTTGAGGTCCGTAGAGAACGGTTTGCTGGTAGCACCGTCAACCAGTAAAAATCTCCAAACGCAACACATACACAAAAAAACGAGCACGGGCGGGGGCAACTGCACGACGTAGCCAAGAGCAGATTACAACGCGGCCGCAGCCCCTCGACGCACAGCAGCATCCTCCATGAAGCAGCTCAAGAAACATCCTTTTTTTAATTTTAATTTTCTTTTTTTAAAGAATGATATCGTGAATTGAGGTGTTTAAGAAGATATATATTTATATATTCTGTACATGTTGCGTAACCATTTATAATATTCCCTCCCCCCCACCGATAGATTTTCTTTTGACTATACACACGGAGCTTAGAGTCACTGACAGACAAAACACCAGAGTAACAATGAGGTAGGGCGGTGAAAGTTGGATGAAGTAGAACCAGTTTGTGGATTGTATACAAAGTTACTAATACTGTAATCAAAAATAGAGACCAAACAAGATGCTTCTCCCGGCATCGGCTCTTGAGGCTCACACATGAACGACTTATGTACACAGAGCAGTCAAAACGGTAGGAGAAGCACTTCCAACAGGACCTTGGCAAGCGTCACCTTGATCTATGTGCATTTTGAAAAACCAGTACCGGAGGTGGGACAGAAAGAATCACGGCTGGTGAGGTTTAACTTCTTTCATCCAGCGCTACTTGAGTGTGAGAGCAATCAAAGAAAGCGGCGTTCGGATACAGCCGTGAGCAAACGGCTCGGTCGGGTTACGCGTCCCGTTGGCGCATGTTACTGAGATGCTGATGAAGCTGAATGTGGGTTGAACATTCCGTACCGCAGTACACATGTTACAAGGTTTAAAGCATTGTCTTTACCACGACCCATTTTTGGTATTAAAAAACAAACAAACAAAACAAAGAAACCAAGGATACAAACGATACATAAGAGCATTATTCGAATATTTGTGAGGTTGTTTTTGCACAGTGGATACAAACGATACATAAGAGCATTATTCGAATATTTGTGAGGTTGTTTTTGCACAGTGGGTATCTGTGTATAAGTGCCCTCAAAAAGGGGGCCAGCCTGCTAGCTAAATAGCAAGCTAGCATAATTACGTTGAACGCGCAGTATTTATAGCGCAGTAGGACTCAGCCGATAGACTGTTTCACTGCTGCTGTTCTGGCTAGCAAAACAATAAAACGGATTTAACAGGGCTCCGTATTTGATGAACTAGGTAATGATGAGGGCTGTGCAGCCCTCCAACCCGGAGGTGGGACAGAAAGAATCACGGCTGGTGAGGTTTAACTTCTTTCATCCAGCGCTACTTGAGTGTGAGAGCAATCAAAGAAAGCGGCGTTCGGATACAGCCGTGAGCAAACGGCTCGGTCGGGTTACGCGTCCCGTTGGCGCATGTTACTGAGATGCTGATGAAGCTGAATGTGGGTTGAACATTCCGTACCGCAGTACACATGTTACAAGGTTTAAAGCATTGTCTTTACCACGACCCATTTTTGGTATTAAAAAACAAACAAACAAAACAAAGAAACCAAGGATACAAACGATACATAAGAGCATTATTCGAATATTTGTGAGGTTGTTTTTGCACAGTGGATACAAACGATACATAAGAGCATTATTCGAATATTTGTGAGGTTGTTTTTGCACAGTGGGTATCTGTGTATAAGTGCCCTCAAAAAGGGGGCCAGCCTGCTAGCTAAATAGCAAGCTAGCATAATTACGTTGAACGCGCAGTATTTATAGCGCAGTAGGACTCAGCCGATAGACTGTTTCACTGCTGCTGTTCTGGCTAGCAAAACAATAAAACGGATTTAACAGGGCTCCGTATTTGATGAACTAGGTAATGATGAGGGCTGTGCAGCCCTCCAACAAAAGGAGATTTCTATCGTATCTCACTACATTCGATACCATTCAAGGTCGGTACATTTATTGGAGGGATGGCTACCATTTGAGGAAATAAAGTCTTAGATCTCAATGCAAATACTTGTAAAGCTGATGTTTTTTTTTCTGTACAGGGTAAACCCAATACAAATGGAAGCAAAACTAGAAACCCGAACAATAGATTTAGGAATAGGTTCTTTTAAGTTGGCCGGGGCCTTTTTTTCCCCCCTTAAATGTGCAAACCCTGCTGATCAGTCAGTCAGCATCCCATTTGTTTGGCTCATATTGAAAAACAAAGACATGACGTCATACCTTAACATGACCAGCATTCTCTCATAGACTGCCGTTAAAATGACGTGACGATTCTTTTGAGTATCGAGTAACCTTACTGCTCAGCACTGGCATGTCAATCACACACCCTGCCGCTCACAAACTAAACATCTTAAGGTGCATCATGTTATTAGAATGATTGTTTGGCCTTAATTTCGGACTTAGACATGAAAAAAAAATATACAAGTATACTAAAGCGATTTTATAAGATTGACAAATTGATGTGTAAAGTGCATTCCATGTAAATGATTTGTCACCTTGTCAACTTAGAAGTTTACCTAAAGGTTGAGGCTGAACGCTTCTCGAAGAATACCCCCAGCTTTGCATCACCGATCACTTTGGCTCGAACGATGTTTGTTCTTTTTTTAAGGGCCCTACATCACACTTGAAAGCCCGACAAGTCATACGGAAAACAACACGAGTTCATAAAGAATATAAAAAAAGATAAACATACACGATGGCGACATCAATTCAATAATTGTCCAGAACATTTACAACTGAACTGCAAGATATCCCCCCCCCACCCTCCCAAAATACCCCAAAACCTCTCTCTCTTTACAACATAAGGTAGCTGAACAAACGGCTAAGCTCAACTTTGGAAACACCGTTTTAAAAAGAAAGAGGGTGAGAGAGAAGAAGAAGAAACTGACAAACGTAGACGTGTGAAGAGGAGCAAAGGCTTGACAGGCAGCTCTGCAGCAGATTCACAGTTTTGCCTCCGTTGGGTCACACTTGAGATTTCAGTCTCCGAGATTTCCTTTCAGAGGGCCGACAGCCGTGGAAAACATCGCGGGACAAAACAACAACACGCAATAAAATGAACAAAGGACAAGTCTGACTTGAGTGTCCTTAGGGTGGCCATATTTAGTTCTCCCCAATGGCATTTCTTTAGAACAGGGTGGTTGTGGGCTTCACAATAAATCGCCAAAACATGTCCCAGACAGCTTTACCCACACAGTTTCTTCCACAAGAGCTGAGTTGCAAGCCCCCCTCCCGAAGAGAACCACGAGGCTCGGCGAAGGCTCAAGTTCATCGATGCTCCGAACAGTACCAACTCATACATTCTCACATCAAAGTGCATGTGAAGTCTAAAGACTACCAACGACAATCGCAGCTCAGTAGAAAAGCCAAGGGCATGACGCGCCCAGGTGATTGCCAAATCCATTTAAGGCCCTTTTCTGCTCCTCCGCCACTTTCTCAACAGTCCAAGTATCTGCTACTACAGTAACAGTTTTTAAGGGTCACACAAACAACAAAACACACAAGGAAATCACATAAGGCTCGGTCATTGTGCATTAGTAGTCGTCGCACTAACAGAGATGGGCAATTGAAAACAATGACACAAAACAAATTTTCGTTTGTTTTTCAGATAGAGAGAAATAACACATAAAACATGCATTTGACTCTACACTGACGCTATTTTGTCACGTCGATCCATATCGCGCCTTTCGGCGGGGGGGAGCCAAGATTGCAAAATGAACATGAAGGGATTCATGTGACAGAAAATACTGTCTGCTTTGTTGAGCAGATGGCGCTTGGCTTTTGTCGAAGGAAGCAGCGTCACAACATTTTAGTCAGCACATTTAGCCTTGAATTTGTGTACGTTTTTTTTTTCATAAAATCCCTTCACATGATTTCCACATAAACGAGCGAGTAAGTTCCATTTTGTACAACTCCTACTGAAACGCGGTGATCGCAATGTGTAATGATTGACCTAAAAAGCCATGGCCAACATAATCTCTCGCAGCAACAGCCTCTCTGTTGCAATCAACACGATGTCTGTTAGTAATTAAGACTAATTCATTATCAACTCCCCGATTGAATACCACTGCAGTACCCACTGCAGTCATTCGGTTCTCCAGCAGTTTAAGTCACACAAAATATCTCAACAGCTCTAATAGACACGAGCTTCCCACTGTACAGCAATTGAAGTCTTTTATCGGGGCGGGGGTGGGGGAGTCATCTTTTACTTTTTAAAAGCTTAAAGGACTCTGAGTGATGTTCTGACACAGAACAATAAATAAATTTCACAATCTTTTAACACACACACCGAGGCGAACCATTTCTTCGTACTGATCCTACAGTCGAGCTTATTTACAAGAACAAACAAACGATCATTCTTGCTCCCATCTGGCTGGTGGGTAAAGCTGTCTGTAACTTTATGGGCTCACTGGGCCATACTGTTAAGAATTAAAAAAAAAAAAAAAAAGGGGGGGGGCTTTGGTGTTACACACCAAAGGCCAATCTGATGAGTCGAAGGAATAGCAAACGCACCCAAACCGAGAGCCCCCCTCCAAATTCCTTTGACCTGCGTGCGATGGGAAAGGAGGGGAACAGAAGAACACTTTTTGATCTCTACATGCCGTCGTAAGTAAAGTTCTCCATTTTGACTGTCTGTCTGATGAGCAGCTTGGACTCCCGCCTCTCCTCGTTCTTGATGGACTTGTTGATGTCCATGATCTTCTCACAAATGTATTTGTTCACTTTGGACAATCTTTGCGTGATCTCCGCACTGTCTGCCGTCTCTTGGGACACTCGGTCATATAGACACTCTGCGGCGAAGGCAAAAGGGCGCTGGGTTAGAAGGACCATCGAATTTAGGAGGGTCGGGTAAAACCTCTTACCTCGGACAATTTTGAGCTTGCTTGGTGAGAGTGGAGGTTTGGGAAGAGCGTCTTTCTTCTTTTTGGTCGCCACTCCAGTGACGCTGCGGTTTTTAAGGGTTTCTGTGCCCCAGATCATAACAGCCAGGTTCTTTGTGAACTTGGAGTCTCCCTGGGTGCGCTGCAACTGGTGCCACTTCTCCTCCTCCACCCAGATACCGCCACCGAGGTGAACCTACGTTGGGGTGAAAAGCACATTCGAAGGCTAGAGTATCTATGAATGAGTATCAGAGAGTGGCGTATTTATGACTATGAATTATGATCTAGTAGGTACAATAGGATATTTTAGTAGCACAACTGCAGTACAAAAAGCACTGATACAGTATAGCACTGATAATTAATTTCTCTTTATCTTACTTGATTACCGTATTTTCCACACTAAAAGGAGCACTGGATTATGAGGCTTACCTTCAATGAATGGCCTATTTTGTAATTTTTTTTTATACATTGGGCGCACCGCGTTCTAAGACGCAATCTACAATGCATCCACTAGATGGAGGTACGCTCAAGGAAAAGCCAACAGAACGATCAGATGTCAGTAAAATGTATTTAATAAAGCAGCGACACAGTTCACTTAGCCAACAGCAAGTTATAACATTGACTCGTTAACGTTGAACTCTCTTGCCGCTGCTCTATTTCCGTGGTCAACTGTGAAACCGATTGCCTTAAGTTTGAACTCTATGTTGTGAGCATGTCTCGAGCAAGGAGCCATTTTGGGGTTGACAAATTACCGTGATGACCATACACGAGGTGCATCGGATTTTAAGGCGCGCTGTGAGCTTTTAAGAAAATGGAAGGCTTTTAGGTGCGCCTTTTAGTACGGAAAACACGGTACTTATTTTTCTGAAAACTTCTCACTTTTCTCCCTACATTTGAAAACCATATCTGTACGTTCTACTCCTTAGTTAAAATACTTACTAACTTTTTTCAATCCCCACTAATAAACATGTGACGCAAAAAAAAAAGACAACCAGGGTTGAAATTTTGATTGATTGATGACCTCAGCTCTTGAGGACTTAAGGCAGAAGATCAACAAGGGAACGGGAACAACAACAGTATTGATGTGTAACTAAAATGTGAAGAACACGACTGAGTCATTTGACTGACTGCCCATTATTGCGGAGGATGGGGACCGAGCTCTGCAGCTATGGATGAATCCCCCACAACCCCCCATCCCCCCTGCAAAAGAGTTTGAAAATATGTATAGATACCCTAATTTTACAGCAAAGCATGTACACATTGATGAACCCATGTTACATAAACTATTGAACACAACAAACCATCTTCTGAAGAGGCTCATGAATACTAATTAGCTCTCTCTTCGTCTATAAAAGACGACGCTAGCGCTAACACAAACTGATCTCACATCATACATGGGCAAACAAATATTAAAATAAGGTATAGTTTTTTCAGCCGGTCTAATGAGCTAATGTACAGGTAGCATTTTGTCTGTTATGTTTTGCTCATGCAGGACCTGCTGTCAGCTCAGTCCTGGTTATTCTGTCAGAAATCATCTTGCAGCAAAGTTGTGTCAGTGTTTTTTTTTTTTTTTTTTCTGTCATAAGTCTGTGGGCAAGTTTTTTCCCCAAAGTGCCAAGTTTAAAAACAAAAGAAAAAGAAAAGAAATATAAAACACGAGTCTGTACCTCTAAGACGATTTGACATCTGCAATCAGAAGTAAAACTACCTCACTGTCTGTCAAAACAGTTTTCATTTTCTCAAAGTTCTCATTTGTTAGTGTTCGCATGTTGATCATAATTTGCTGAAAAACAACCAATTAAAAAAAAAAAAAAAAAAAGCAACATCACCAGTGAATGGTAAACCAGAGGGGTACAAAAGGAAGGAGCAAGGGAGGGAATGGAAGGTCAGGGAAGTACATTTTGAACCCAATTTACTATTAGGCTGAGGAAATGATTTTGACTAGAAAGACATTTGCGTGAACCATCAAAGCTATTAAGATTGATTGTTCTTGATTGTGCACATATTTAAATATGGTGTCTGAAAGGCAGGTGGAAACGGCACCACTGTGAACCATGACAAAGAGACGCAGGCAAAATAAGAGGTAAAAGGGAGCGAGCATCATTTCTCCTGTTTTGAAATGCCAGAAACCAAAATTAGGTTGACATATTGCATTGTTTATTTGGCAATGCGGCGTTGGAGCTTCTGAATAATCTAAGGGCTGACTTTTAGCTCGGCATCCTAGACAAATCTCTTTTCAACTTTAATTCCTCATATCTGGGTCATTTCAGCACAGTGTGGAAGTTGTCTGGTAGCGTCCTCTCCCGTAGCAGTTTCTCGGGTGTGCTGTCACAACTTCTAAACACAATTTTACTCTGGACAAACACCATACAACCATACAAAAATGGCTTACGTGTACTTGCTGGCTTCACCAAAATTATTGGAGTTATCAATTTCTTTTTGTAACTCACTAATGTTTGCATGTCTTCCACTGACACTTCCAGTTCCATCATTTCATTTTGAAATGTTCAATAGTGAAAACCTCTCACCGAAGTCTCTCCCTCTATTTTGAAACTTGCTGCCAACAGCCTGTACAATATGCGAAAGTGAGTGAGGCCGCAAATAAAATCTGCAATCTTAACCAATTACGCGCAACACTGTGCGCGGTCTGCTAGAGCGAACATACAATCAAGCGGCCATGATTAGGGGTGTCACTAAATCAGTGTTAGTTGGCCCCAATCTAACCGGGCCAACTGACAGCGAGGAAACCACGCAGATCATTGCTAGCCACGGTATAAGACATCTTAACCGACTCTTACTTAAACCACAGAGCTAATCCCAAGAAGCACCGCTTTCGCAGACTAGGATACTCAAGTAAGCTCAAGCCACTGGGCGCTTGTAGGTTGGATTACTCCAACCGTGAATTTAGCACGCGGCTCTCCACAGGCAGATGCATAAGCACGTCTCAAGCGCACCAAGCCAATTGCCAGGCCAGGCTCTCGTCATTCAGGTGGGCGGAAGCAGCAGGAGTCATATCTGACTTGCTTTCTCTGGGCTCTCTGATCACTCCTAAGTCTTTAGGCTGGAGTCCAAAAGGATTTTCCCTGTGCAGCTAATGTGCTTTAGGCCGCGGTCCAGATTCGCTCTTCTGCCCTCAAGTTGGGAAAGGTTGTTTTCATTCTCACTTCAAGCTCCTCGCATTTATTTTCTCTACCTCCTTCCTCCATGCCAGTCCGTCAATCACTCTGAATTTCTCTTGTGCGAATAATTAATAGGGGGCCCGTGATGTCAGGAGGGCTCTAATTTGCAAATGCTCTTCACGCCTGAGGTGGCTGCAGGTCCCAGAGCTTGTAGTACCAATTGCACTCCTGTCAGCATACACAGGATGTTGGTTGCATTATAGGCAAGCCTAACTGGCTAATAAACACTGATGATGCTGGCCAGGCCTCCAGGAACAATAATCATCTTCTGAACCTTGTTTACCTGTCAGAGCTGGACAGGGGAAAGAACTGATCTAAGGTGAGCTGAAGTTCATGCTTATTACAAGGAAATAAATACAGTACTGCACAGGAAAGGGTCTTGTGCTGGTCACCTGCGGGCAAAAAGCCACTGAGGAGGGAGGCTTCAAGAAAAGAAATGAATTACTCTGAATGCAATGTGGCAGCTAGAACTGAACCTCCCAAGTCAAAATGTCCCAGAGGTCCTGAAGTCGAACAGTTCAGAAGTACCAAGGAGAAGAAAAACAAACAAACAAACAAACAAAAAAATGCAAAGGTGCGCAACGTATGGCCTGTGGGCCACATATGGCCCATCGTGTTTAAAAAAAAAAAATCTAGCCCACCAAAGTTAGCTGCTACCAGGGCACTCCAATTGAATTACGCCATCTGACAGATTGCCGAGAACGACGGATTTTGCAGGCACGAGACTGTTGATCTGTGCCCACGTCATCTGTTATTTTGATACATTATTAACCATTTTAAAGTACTGAAAATAAATCAAGAAAAAATCTATTACCGCTCTCGAACTATCCAATGTGTGAGAAGTGTCGTAAAACTCTGCCTCTTTCCTCAATCTGCAGAGCTGTTGAGCATAATTGTCTCCTCAAAATGGAGAGTTGGGATGAGTTTTTACACATTGGTTCGGTTAGTTACATTTGAGTAAGCCTGTTCTGTTTAAAAAAATAAGAATAAATAAATAAAGCAGCACTGAAACGCACTGGTGGAGAAGGAACTTTGTCAGCCATAAAAGCGAAGTACAGTGAAGTGAAAATTCATTTCCCTATATTAAACTGCTTAGTCAGCTCATCATTTCACGCCGTAACCAAAGTTGTTCACTTTTGGGAAGTATAAAAGTTTTTTGGGGGTTTGTTTTTTGTGTCAGGCTGGCCGGCGCAAGCGCAGGCTGAGGTGGATGACTTTTAATCAAAGCAGCATTTTTTTTTTCCAGCGTATGAAATTAACAATTAAACATGACCGTGGTGTGGTGTGCTCCGATTGCAAACCGCTCAAAGATTCTAAAACCAGTATATCCTGCTTAGTTTTGTCACACCATTCCTACATTTTTAAAGTGGATAAGAAAACGGGAGGAAGCACGTATATGCCAGATCAAGTGAAAAGAGGCTGACCTTGCCATCGTTGCAAGTGTAGACTGTTCTCGGAGATGGTGAGTAGCTGGAACTGGTGTTGGCTTCTTCTCTGTATGTTTCCTGGGTCTCAACAATGGGTTCAACCACCTCAGCCTTGATTGTCTGAGTCCCATTGTCATGCATAGGCTCTAGAGAGAGACAATAAGGAGTTTGACATTAAAGCAAACACGAAACGCATCTTTTAGAACAAAACTGAAACGATGCCAGGCTAAAAAAAATAAAAAATAAATAATAATAATAAAACAAAAACCATTACTGGAAAGCTATAAGCGAACAGTTGCAGATGACAATGCTGTGTTGTAGCTGTTACTAGTGTGCTGTCACGAGGTATGAGATTTGAAACACTGGATGAGCGCCCAAAATGTTGTCTGGCTCAGCCTAGACTTGCCCGTGCCTGGGGACAGGAGGCTATTTTGGCCCACTGGTTAAGCTGTCTTGGTGGCTAGCCACGTTAAGCTCCAACGTAGCTGATGAGTTTTAATATCAGGCAGTGCACTCCATCCTGTGTACAAAGACACCCCAGGGTGCTCTAATCTCTTGCCTGTCCATTAGATGGTCTAGCCCAGGGGTGGCCAACCCGCGGCTCGGGAGCCGCATGTGGCTCTTTGGCTGGTTCAATGCGGCTCCCGGGCTTTCACACGACAATTGTCGAAAACGCCTCGGCGACGGCGCTGCCATTAAAACAACATGCTTAAGACACAGAACGTACTACATCAGCCTATCACCAATCCCGTTACTTGATTGACATAGAGGGCAACCAATCAGATCGCTGAATCACTGATTGACTTCGAGGGCAACCAATCAGAAGACCGAATCACCGCTCATGCGCAGACAACGGCGCTAAGTGCTAAGCTAGTCAGCAAATTACCTCTGTTTTTTAAGGCAGGGGTGCCCAAAATGTCGATCGCAATCGACCAAGAGCCAGCAGACTGGTCCCAAGTCGACCGCGAGTGGTGGGAGGAGGAAATGGGGGGGGGGGGGGGGGAAAGAAAAGATTTGTGTGTTTGTGTCTTTAGGTTTCATTTATGTTCGGGCGCTCAGGCTGTTGCTCGTCGTGGCGTGCAGGCATATGTGCGCGAATGCATGGTCGTGTGTGTGTGGCTCTTTGCAGAGACACAGTAAAAAAATTGGCTCTTCGTCTCTGACTGGTTGGCCACCCCTGGTCTAGCCAGTGAGCAGGCTTCTTGGTCCAAACCTACGGATGAAGTTACACTGACAGACATCTAACCGAAGTGGTTTCTGTGCATTGCTGAGCATTGAACACTTGCCCACTCAAATTCCAGGACTAAATTTATGGCTGTACAGGACCTATTCATAACCATTTGCTGAAGTATAATGCCATTGTTTAACTCAACTGGGTAAGGTTGAATTGTGTTAAAAATTATCACGTGATATAGACCAACCGAATTCAGCAGTTGCTTATTATTACAATTTGTCATTGTCAAATATATCCCAAGCACATTAAACAACTTCTGCTCCTCTTTACAGAAGTGAACCGAACTCACATTTTTATTTACAACACGGTGCACAGGGGGTTTTGACTTGCATTACTTTTTGCATTCTTTTTCACAACGTAACGTGACAAGGGGAAGACAATACATAAAAATTATTACGACGGTGGAATCTCTGATGAAGTTTAACGACTGTAAATGACATAGATTTTACTTTATGAACCGGTGTAGAAGATGGATGAAGGTATGTATGTTCCGGAAAACTCAAAGTTACTCACTAAACTGGAGTTTTATTATAAAATATGGGTGGGTTGAATCAGGAAGCACATCTGGCGAAAAGACGATACCCAACAAATCATGTCAGTGACTCGCTGTGGCGACCACAGATGGGGTAGGATGAAAGTCACGACAAGAACTTTTTTTTTTTGAACACAAAATTGTTAAAATGTGATGTGCGGCGTTAAATAGCTTTGAGCAATGATCACCACTTCCCTAAACCCAACGGTCTTAACAACATTTTATTAAAACGTGAGTTTTTTTTTTCTATTTCTATTGTTTCCACATTAGGAAAATTTAGTTCTTAAATCTATCCACCATCGTAGAATGGATTGTGTTTCCCTCAAAGACTTCACTACACATAAAAAAAAACAAACTAACAAATTATTTAAAAAAGTTCACACACCCCTGTTCAAATGTCGGGTTTTTGTGTGATATATATGTGTATATATGGATCAATGTACATCATTTCAAAAGTTTTACATAATTGTGAGGGAGAACCCACGTCCGATTGAAGGGAATAGAGAGGCCAAATACATCTGCTGTTCTTTTTTTGTCCTGGTAGTCACATCTTATAGCACAAGTCATCATCGTTCTGCAGACAGCTCCCACAGAGTCAGAAGGATTTGTCTGTTCAAAGCTACCCGTCAGGTGGAGGACAGAAATGAAATTCCGAGGCATTAAATATATCATGGAACACAGTAAAGACAGTCATCGTCCAGTGGAGAAAATATGTCACAACGGTGACATTACCAAGAACTGGACGTCCTTCCAAAAATTTATGAAAAGACTGGTCAGGAAGGGTGCCAAGAAGAGGTAGACAACAACATTCAATGACCTACAGGAATTTCTGGCAACAAATCCTTGCTGTTTAATACATATGAGAAGAATCTCTCATCTTCATATGTCTGGGCTATGAAGTAGAGTGGAAAGACAGACAGACGCCTTATCTTATGAAGGAAAAAAAAAAACACTTGAAATTTCACACATGCATGTGGAAGAATTTGTTATGGTCCGATGAAACGGAGGTTCACCCAAAAGGTACATTTGGTGAAAACAACACTGCTCATCACCAAAAGAACACCAATCCCTACATGACGATGGCAGCATCATGTTTTGGCACCTTGGTAAAGCTGGACAGAATTGTGAACAGTTCCAGATAAGAGACACTGTTAGCTAAAAAAAAAAAAAAAAAAAAATGTCAGGAAAAAGCCTACTAGAACATCGAGGTTTATTTGGGATTAATTGTTTGTTATTGTAAAGTGTCCTTGGGGGTCTTGAAAGGAGCTTATAAATAAAATGTATTATTATTATTATTATTATTATTATTATTATTAATGAGAGGCACTTTAAATTGTGACAAATGTGTGCTGCCCCTTTATTTAACATGAAAGTGAATGTGACTGGTAGACAATGAACACTGCCACATCTACACAAATAAGAGGGTGAGCACACTTCTGCAACCATATTATCTCAGTTGGCTATTTTTACTTCCCCTCTTATAAAGATTTTCCCCCAAATTGCTTTGTCCAGGTTAAAAGGTCAAATTGACAGCTGCAACATATTCAGTGTAGGTAGTCATGACTCTGACCAAACTATACAGAATTCAAAGTAGAACAAGGAAGTGAGGTGTTTGTGTGTGTGTGTGTGTGTGTGTGTGTGTGTGTGTGTGTGTGTGTGTGTGCATGTGCGTGTGTGTCTTACCACTGCCCAGCCTCATGAGAAGCACGTCCTGCAGCCGTCGATTGAAGTCCCTGAGCTCTTTGACTTCAGTCAGCAGGCTGCCATATTCCTTGAGTTTCTTGGTCTGCTGCACCAGCTGCCGACGCGTTCGCTCCAGCTCCTGTTGCAGCCTCCTCATCTCATCCTCCTGTTGCCTGTAGCTGACGACCAGCTCGTCGTAAAGGACGCGGGGAACCACCGCCGCGGCCACGTCCGTGTCCACCTCGAGATGTTGCTGTTGCTGCTGCGGCTGCTGTTGGTGATGATAATGCTCCTGCTGCTGCTGTTCTGCCTCCATGTCGTCGTCTTCGTCATCGGCATCCTCTCCCTCCTCGGCGAGTCGATCCTCATCCAGATCCTCTTCGCCTTCCATACAGGAGCTGGCTGCATTTCTTTCCAGGCGAGCCACTACTGCTGCCAAACTTTTGGAGGAGTTTGAAATAGGGCGGCCATGGTCTTGAGAAAGGGCCTTAAGGGGAGAACATTTGACAATTTAGAGATCTACAAAGTGATTGCTTGAATAATAAATGCAGTTTGTAAACTTAGGAGTACAACTGCATGCGTTGTGTTTGTATTCAGGTCGACAACAATTTGTAGGAAGGCAACAAATTTAATGGGCCGTGTGCAACAAAACGTGATACTATGAATAACAAAACCAAGAGCATATGGGAACCGAAAAGAGTATTTGATCTGGCCGACCATGCAATGCTAGAAACAGATAAAACCCTGGAGGAAGTAAAAATCCCTAAAACATTTAACCAACATATGTTCATACTACACGATAATAAACGTTCGCCAATTACGGCCCTCAGAGGAGTAAAACGACCCCTGACAGGGGGGAAAAAATGCACACTGTGCGCATATGTTCTTTATGATGACTGTGGGAATCTCACAAAGAACGAAAGAGGAGTCACAGAGTTCCTGATGAGCCGCTCAGAGGATTTGTCCGTGAAAGGGCATCTGTCCAGAGTGCTGGAATTTGTGTTAATCCACCATATGGTAAAAATAGCGTGAGGGAGTTTGGGTGGAAGCCCAATACATATACACATACTTTAAAAACATGTTAAAATACCTTATAATAGTTATAGGGAGGGGGGGGGGCGTTTTTAACCTGGATTTAAAAGCATTTACATTTAGGGCTTACTTCACTTCTGTTGTTATCGTATTCCATTTACGTGCAGCATAACAGCTAAATAGTGCTTCACCATGTTTGCTTTGAATTCTGTGAACAAGTAATTGACCTGTGTCTGCAGACCTCAGAGTTTTTACTGGATTTATATCCCATTAGCATTTCTTTAATGTAATCAGAACCTAATCCATTCATTTATGGACCCATGGCAGAACTTTAAAGTCTATTCTGGGAGCCAGTGTAAAGCCTTTAGGACTTGTGGAGTATGTTCTGATAGATCTCTTTGTCCTCGTTAGGTTGTCAAGTCAAAATACCATTACCATAATCAAGTCTACTGAAGATAAAAGTACAGATAAACCTCTCCTGGTCTGCGTGGAGCATGCAGCTTTCCACTTAGACACAATTGTAGCATGTTCACCTCAAAGAATACAAATGCAGGCAATGCTGGTTTACGAGCAATAAATTAACATTCATGTTGTGCATCAGTTGTTTTTTAAAGTCATTTGTCTACTTATTTCCCCTTCATTTACATGGTGCGTACAAAACACCGACCACTATCGTCTGAGATCCTACCTTTTTATGCCTGAGAGGCACTCTCTCCCCTCCAAAGCTGTTCTCAATTGAATTTCCTGAATTCTTGATGGACATCTTGGGAATTTTCATCTTCTTTTGCATTATAAAGTCTTCAAACTCCTCTACAGCATCTGCAAACGTTCAAGACACTCGTCAAATTTCTTTCTCCTCCGGTCCCTTCTCCACAACAAACTGTGCGTCATCTCTCTGTCATATTAAATTCATTTAAGCACGATGGAAAAATTAACAATCTTCACAGAGATTTAAGTGCCGGTTAGCTGCAGTGGACGCGGAGAATTCGTTCGCTGGATGGATGACACAGCTCAGACAGCTGACATTCATGGATTAGAGATGTCATATGTTAAACAAAAGGGCTAGTCAGTGAGCAAGCGAGCCAGACGCGCAACATGTTATTTACATTTTTTTTTTTTTAAATGCGCTGTCACGTTACTGACATATTGTCTGCAGGCTGTCTGGAAAGACACCGCAGCGGCGCATCTTCTTTTGTGGCACACAAAAATCAAACCGTGTTAAACATTGCTTTCAACGCACCAAAGTCGTCGGGTATAGCATCTCGGCTTTAAAAACCAGAAGCGTGAAAACGTCAAACGTATTTTGACCGGGTGTTAAATGTTCTGACAGCTCTACGTGTGCAGACAGCTAACTCTAGCATGCTAACTGAGCGCACAGACGAGCTAACAGGGTTAGCCGCAGGTTGTAAACAAGCGACGTCGCTGGCTAACGTTGCACACGGAACGTCGAAACAACACAAGTGCAAACACTTAACCACACTGGTCGCAAAGTTGTCTTCGCGTAACCTCGCAAGTATGTCTTGCTAACCGGGACGTTAATGCAGCTATCGGAGCTCAGACGATAAGCTCTTCACAAGTCGGACTACATAACTTGACACATATCCATGTTTCGACACACGTCAACGCCTTCGTGGGGGAAATGAGACTGAAACATAATACGGGCACATCAAAGAAATGAAAATGGAGAAACTTACCTGCAAGGGCAAGGATGTGAGCCCGGCACGACCGGCCTGCGCTGCCATTCTCTTCAGTCCTGCGAACCACATACACCTTCCGATGATCGAAATCGGCTCCGTGCTCGGGGCTGAAATTTGGGATGCTGGAAACCGGCAACGCGCAACACACATCCTCTTCAAAGAATCGAACAAAAGCATACATTATTTTTTTTCCTCGGCCGTGCACTTTTGATGCGGCTGACTTGCCGCCCCCTTTCACAAAATATGTAAAAAAAAAAAAAAAAAATAGAAATACACTTAGGGAATGTTGTGGATCATATCGGCGCTCAGTTGCTTTTGTCTGTTCCATATCAGCGGGGAACATCATCAAGGCATAACTAACAGACAACACATTTTAAAGTAATGTGCGTGGGGGAAAACAGAAAAAAAAAGAATGTAGTTTTATTCTTTTTGTGCGTGTTTGTCTCCCATCACTTGTGTAAAATATTCGCATGGTGATTAGTGGTTTACACATCTGCCTCACAGTTCAGAGGTTTGGGAATTAAATCCTTGTGTAAGTTTTCTCTGGTTACTCAGAATTCCTCCCACATTCAAAAACATGTATGTTATGTCTTTATTTAGCTATTCACTAACAGTGAAATGAAGAAAACAAAACAAAAAACAATGTTCCTCATTTGCATGTGGTCACATCGCATCTTGCGGAAAAGAACTTGCTTTTACGATTTCAACTAGTACAAGACAATGGAGTGATCATTACAAATGTTGTATGCTGATATTTGACGCGAGAGTATAATAGAGGTCAGCGGCAAGACCTAGTCATGTCATGTGTGAGCATGCGAGAGCTCAGTTCAGCGAACCTAAACATGGACTCTTGCTTTTTCTTTGACCTTTACTGGTGCATTATCAGCCTCAACAAGGACTGTTACAGGTGAAAGAATATAGTTACCAATTTATATTCAAACAATAAGACACCAGCGTGTGCTAATGCAGTGTATTTCAGAGGCATGTTGCCCTGAGGTGACACTTGAATTTCACCGCTAGATAGCCACAGACTGAATCGCCGCTATACACATCTTCACCCAGTGTTGGGAAAATTCACTTTCTCTGTGAACTAGTTCAAAGTTCAGTTCACACATTTTAAAATAAACAAGTTCAGTTCTTTGTTCATAATTAAATTTTGGGAACAAAATTCACCGTTCCAAAAATGAACTAGCTCATAGTTGTTGTTGGTTGGTTTTGTTTTGCTTTGACACAGTATGATGCTTCAAGCCACCCCCCCCCCGCCAAATTTCCCTTTTGTTGCCACCCACTCAGTTCACACTACTAGACAGCTGCCAGCATCACCGTACAATCCCAAAACGCATGTCGAAAAGCTTGTTGCTTGAATGTTTGTGTTTTACTAGAAAATTTGGTGTTTTATAATGAGGAAGTCAAGCAAAAATTGAACTGCAGTCTTTTAAATGCAAACACAAATTCAATCAAGGGTAGGAACCGGGCTAAGGTAGGAAATTAGCTGTCACATATTTAAACTAAGGCCCCCTCTTATCGGTAGGCGACCGGAAAATGATGACCCACCCTAAGGTAGATTCAAAGTTATGTTATTAGTGACATTCACCTGATGCCGAAAAACCTGTTTAACATAAAATTGACAGTTTTGCCAATATTTAATTGCAGGTCCATTTTTAACAGTGATATTTAAGAATAAAGTTTCTTTCATATTTGAAAAATAAAACTTTTTTTTTTTTTTTTTTTTACTTACAAAGATAAGTATTGGAAAAAAATGAGTCTTGACTCATCTCCTAAAATATAAACAGGTTATTTGTTTCTATTTATATGTTTGTATGGATAGAAGAGTCTTTCTAGACTTAAAAAAATATTTTTTAAAGGGTCTGTTTTTAAAAAAAATGTGTTCCGTCACTATGCTTGTAACTCAAATGCTCATATCTCAAATCATCTTTCCTTCTTGAATTTTACTAGAGAAAGTTAGAACCAATAGAGAGTGTGGCAAATATGAGCTTTGCACATTTTCTATCATGGACGCAGCACTTCATTGACGACACTCCTGACAGCGTTCACAAAGTGCCTGCGCACATGGCAAAGGCAGTGGACAGATTGGCAAACACAAAGCCCACCATATGCCACCTATCAGAAGTGAATGTTGTTGGCTCATTCTAAACGATGCGCCCAAAAAAAAATACTTTCTCATCAAAGTTTTGACAGTGACAGTTTGAAATCCATTTCCAACCTTTTCTATGGGGCAAACATTTTGAAATCCAAATTTTTGACCTTTAAAGTTCCACCGTCTCTTGTTCTCAATCATTCTCTTCTGTCTTTCGTCAGTTTTTCAACATTATTACATGTCTGTCGAAATGTCAATGCCCGACATCATGTGTTCCCAGGTTGAGCTCTTATTTGTTCCAAAAAGCCGACTCGATCGTCTCATCTAAGAGCACATGGGGCTGCTCAGTTGTAACTCCATTGAAGAGTAGCACAGTGGCTTACTGACACAAACAGGTTTTTTTCCCCGCTTCGGGTGCTTTAATTGAAAATGAATTGATGCAGAAATCATATGAAGCCTTCGTGTCTTCTCTGGTATGTTATTTGCGAGTTTCAAGGCATTCCGTTTCGGCTCGTTTGTAAACGTGCCCGTGGTTGTTTGCTCATTGTGCTGTCTGACTATTGTGAGACGAAAGAGGATGTCCTCAAAAAGGGACACGAAGCAACGGTGACTCTCACAACTTGTTTTGTTCGTAGGGCTTCTGCTCAGCTGAAGTTTGGCTATGGGAATCTCTGTACGGAACAAGCAACAGCGTTTCAGTGTGTGACATTTTCATTTATCTGTGACAGCGTGCATAGCGCAACAGATCAGCCGCTCACACTGCTACTTGATCAGAAGTTCAAAGGCTATTACAGGAAAACGAGTGATAAACAAAGAGATTTGGGCAGGCTTTTAACAAACAGAACAGAGGATCATTGTTCTCCAGGCTGCTGGATTTGGCCACACAGGGCTGCTGTGTCTTTGAAGCAGGCGAAGAGCTGGAAGGGCATTGCTTTTAAATGGTTCACATCATATTTCTGCTGCCTCTGGACGTTTAATACAATTCTAAAGCACTTTCTTCGATAGAAATACGTTCCAGGGTCCCTTTGGGTGTGGCAAAGTTAATGGACAACTTATAACAACAAAACAAAAGATCTGTTTGTTTGATGGATGGCTGAATTCCCCGTCGGCCTTTTTGTCTTACTGTCACACGGAGGGCAAACATCACATGGGCAACATTTGTGCTTTTAGATCTATGAAAGAAAATGTATTTAAATGCAATAGACATTCAGTATGCACAGATAAAAAGTAAATATCTAAAAATACATTTATAGTTTGGGAGCTTTGGCATCATTTTTTTCCTCAGAAGTAGTTCAACCACTCCCACAATGCAAATAACGGTGATTTTTCAAGTGGCACGCAGATTAAAAAAAAACAACAGAATGGCACTCAGGGAAGCTCAGATCTCCGCCAAGGACAAACAATCCTCATTTAGCGTAGCATAGTACGCCTCTTGCATTTGTCTGGCTATTGTCATTGAGATTCACGCATCGTTCCCTGAGAAATTAAGGGAACAGCAAGGTTCGATACATTTACTAATAAAGCAATATTCCAGTTTTAGCAGAGCAAGAGTCAACTGTGGACGAGCCCTAAAATGTAAAATGTTTTCCTTTGGATTTGGAAAACAGAATGAAAACCCAAAATCATTGCTGGAGTTAAAAAAAAAAAATAAAATAATTAAAATGAAAAATCTAACTAATATATGACTTATGAACTAAGTAAGGAAGCATTTGGACGACAATGTCATTTGTCTCCCTCAATGTCGCGGCGCATTCAAAAAGTGGATTATAATTAAACTTACTGGCAATTCAAAGCACACGGCATCTGCTCTTCTAAATATTTAGAGTTCATTTAGTTTGTTTGGAAGTCTTTCAATTGTGCTTTAAAAAGAGGAGAAAAGCTTGAACTTGCGTACGACGCAGCTTCCACGCTCATCAAGTATCAAGTGACGTATTCACTGCCGTGGGTACGTCTAAATGATGATTTGAATGGCATTGACAGTCACAATTAAAACCAAACATTGTCTCTGGGAATTTGACGACGCTTGATCTTCAGTCTAGAGACTTCATGCTAATCAGCTGATGATCCAGCGAGTCTCATGATCACGAAAGTTAAGTGCATAATATGAGCGCGGGACAACACTAACAACAATAACATTTTGGGGCTGTAATCAATAGGGCCAGTTGAGCCATAAAAAGACTGTGGGAGTCAGGATAGAAGCCAGACAGCATGTCCTGGCTATTAACTCCACACTGCCAGGCTCATCTATCTTAATTGGTCATCCATTAGCCTGCATTAAAGGGAGACACGGGATAATAGCAGTAATGATGCTGATGATGGAATTAGACTGCGGCAACACACGTCATCGTTGTCGCGTCGCTCTCGGAATCGCAAAGAGTTCCAACGGACCGACGCACGGACAGATGGACGTCGGGATTAAATAAATGATTCCCGAACGCTAGTGCGCTGTTGTGTGCGTGAAAAGTCGATGAGAACAAATAGAGGTCATGCAAATTTGGGGGAGAAAAAGTGGCTTAAATGAATTTAACAGCACGCAGACAACCAATCTCGACGCGGCACCTGTGCCAATCTGCAGCTCGGCAGGATGCACAGATGCTGGTCCAGGTGTGTGTGTGTGTGTGTGTGTGTGTGTGTGTGTGTGTGTGTGTGTGTGTGTGTGTGTGTGTGTGTGTGTGTGTGATGACGATTGGCAGCGTCGCGCTACGACCCGAGCAGCTGAATGCAAACACAGCCAACCACGTGACATGATCGTGCCCCTGAAAATGAAGTGGAAACAAAAAAGGACGCAGTAAACTCCATCACTGGGTGTTTTCAAATCAGAGTTCATCATATTGCCGTTTTTTTTGACTGCATTTTGACTGATCTTTCAAGACTCACAGAATTTAGTCAATATAAACTCCCAACCCACCAAAAGAGTAGACTCTCTTTAATCAGAAAAAAAAGTTTGTTTCTATCTTTTTCTGTTCTTCAGTAGGCAGTAGTAGAATATGGGTAGGTTTCATCAAAAAAACCACGGACTGACCAAAAAGCAGAGAAAACAAGCTTTTTGTGAAAAGAAATTTGTCAAGCGGAACAGTGACTTTTTTTTCTTTCTTTTGTGACACCTCAAGCTATAAAACAACAAAAAACAAGACTGGGAAAGGGCTATTGATTGCAGAATAGTAACATTGGTCAACAGCAAATTTTAATCTCTCAAATTTTAAGGTCAGTTCATTTGTCTATGAGTTTCGGACAGCCACCGATCGAGTACGATGATGAACAGTGCTATTATCGGGGGGAAAAAAAAATGGAGGCACCTCATACACTGTATGGTATTTATTTTATTTTTCCATTGGGCCGCAAACAACACGGCACAATTGTTTGCCCTCCTCGCTGTAGATACAAAAATTACAACCAAGAGGAAATGAGCAGGAAATAAAAGGAGAGAGCGTGAATATTTAAGAAACTGTTGGG